CTGAGTCTAATTGGACCCATGAGCAGAGTTTAGGTGGGTGAGGATTGTGACTAAGAGTTCTGGACTTCAACAAGTCAGACAATTAGTGCATCCATTGTCATATTACTATTTCCCAGCTTGACACCCAGACGCTGGCGTACACTGTTGCTCTGTTGCTTTTCTGGCTGCAGCAAAGTCAGTTGTAAAGGTTACCACCTGCCATCCAACCTGCAGCTGTTCTTCACTGCCCTCATAACTGCACGTGTTCTCTCTGCCTGTGCCTCTTCTATCAACATGATCCTGTAGTTTTCAGGAACTTTTAAAAACTTGTTGTCAAAGATAAAACAAAAATTACTTGCTTTAACCACATCTATTCTGACAGCATATGCCAGGCGTGAGCATGAGGGAGAAGAATTAATATAGAGGCCTTTTTAAGATAAAGAGACATCTTACAGCAATCTTGATAGCTTGTCCGTGTGGAAATCAGATTGCATACCAGGTGTTTTGTAAGCAGAACACAGTAATTTAAAGGCCAAATTGACCCTTTGTGACCTGCATGATATGTGGATCTAGTGCACATGTTCTTCTTTTTCTCTTCTGTGCAGCTGATGTGTTTCAGAAGTAGCGTGTACAGCTCAGATCTGCAGAGACAGGTAGTTACCTACTAATATAAAAGTAAGTCCAACTTCTCTTTAAATACCCTGATGCTCCAACAAACAGACCTGCCTTGGATCTTGCAGTGACTCATCATAAGCCGTCTGATACCTTATTTTAAACCTGCTACCATCAGGCAGAGATCAGCTGTAGGTATTTTAACAAGAAGCCACTCTAGCTGATCCTTCATTTTAATCTGTGATAAACCTGATGTCCTGGAACTGCCTGATCTCATGGGGAGGAAGAAGACGACACATGGAGGAACTATTTGTTTACCTACATAAACACAAACACATTCTTGTTTTAGACCAGAAGCTGTTCGAGGCAATGACTGTCATGCATTATGGCTGTGTCTACTGTTATTTTAGTGTAGGGCTTCAGTTTATCCAGAGGTTCAGATTCTCCAGTGTCCCTACTACCAACAAAAAAGCTGGCTTCAACTTCAGAAAGAGTCAAATGGCCATTTGGGAAAGAAAACTAAAGTTGAGAAGTGGGTTTACTCACATTTCAGCAGTGATCCTACAAGTAGTATGGGTGCCATTGTGCTCATACTCATGCCCCACGCTTCTTGTTAATGGATATGTAGGATATATAATAGTGCTTAAATTATTTGCAGCTTCTGGGTAGACCGATACTACTCCTGTTCAGAATATGGGGTTAGGAGACAGCGTGAAGCAGTTGTGAGTTGTTCTTAGCACAAGACATTAAGATGCTGCTGTTGACAAATAGGCAGAGAATATAGCATCCACTTTTTGAAAAAACATGCTACTTCTGTGGCCTTTTTCAGGCACTTCTGGGCACAAATCTATGTTTCTGCCTAACCTTTGACAGCAATAGGAAGTGCTTTGAAAGTGCTTTAAAAGGCTTGATGCTGTTGTGATTCACTTAGCTGCACTAGTATCTGAGGACTAAGTGTGTGTTCACAGTAACTCTTAGATTATAGAGCTGTTTCTAACAGGGACTTAGTCTTGATCACATGCAAACAGAATAAATAGAATTAGTGTTTATGCAGCCTTCTGTAGATCTTCACTCTTTTTGTGTGGGGCGGGGCTACTGTGAGTCAAACCCACCACTAATTTATCAAAAAGAGTTATAACCAACATTCAGCCTGAAAAACTAATCCTGTGAACTGTTGTTCCTGACATATTTGTGTTGGATGGTTGAGAATGGTACCTTGGAAAGAGAGGTGCAGATGTACCTGTGCCCATCCCTCCTTATGGGTTTTATGGTGTCTCAGAAGAGCAAAACTCACTTTGCTGAGTGACACCAGGATGAGACCTGTCTCTCTACCCCATCTACTGTTTTGATGCAAGCTTTGAAGTAGTTCTGGGATTTGTTGGACATAGATAGGTTTAAATGTTGTTTGGTGATGGGGTAATAAGAAAGTCATAGACAGACATACAGATGAGTGCACATCTCTTTTTTCCTAATGAAAGTGAGCTAGGAGTACGTTATGAGAAGATCACTAGCAGGGCATTAAAATGATAGGCAGTGACTCTGAAATATGCCCTGTTTCCCATGTGTAATTCACTGTCGTAACTGGCCATATTCTCAGAGGGTGTAAATTGATAGAGCTTCACTGGAGTCACAGACGCTAGGGCACTTTGTAGGCAGTGGGTAACCCAAATGTGCTGCTCCAAAGAGAGAGTTAAGCCCCCCTTGTGCACAGAAGGCTGGAGAAACAGTGCCCTTTTCTGCCTTTGCACTTCACATCCTCCTAGCGAATGTAAAAGCCCAGGCCCCCATGGACCTTATGAGTGTCAAAGCCATGGGGAGCCCTGGGGCTGTGGTCCCAGCACCCTCCACAGTGCTGTCCCAGGGTTTAAATCCACTAGGACACATCAGGGCTTAGGTTTCATGCTTGGAGTCACTGCTATCTCTAAGCAGAGGGATCATTTTCCTACACAATGGGCATTGCCAAAACTATAGCCATGACAAATGTGAAACATGGTGTCAAATGCAGAATGGGTGGGCTCTGAGTTCCTAGGGGTGTCTTTTGTCGGTGACAAAGTGAGCTTGTGCAACGTCTTTCCAAAGCATTAACATGCTGTCTTGGTGCATCCGTTCCTGGCGCACTAACTGGCGAGTGGCTGAAAATAGATAAGCAAAGAGAAAGGGCCAGATTTGTGAGAAAAACAAGAGATACACCAGGATTGTGTCTGGGCCCAGATATTTCAAAATTAGTTGGAAAGAACCTGATGCTTCTCTGATAGATACATAACCATGAAGAAATTTGAGACAGTTATTTCAAGGAATGGCTGAAATTTCTAAGGCTGCATGAACAACATCACGCTCTGTTCAAGGAAGGGCTCAGACTTTGGTGCAGTGGCATCAGAGCTGATCTAACCACTGCCATGATCCCACTCTCCCCACCCCATCCTCAGCTGCCCACTTCTGCCTCCCTTCTTGCACTTTTTTGGCAATTGTAAGTTTTGCACTGAGCTGGTTTGCAGTGCTGACCAGACAGAAAAAGCCAACTGATGTAGCAAGCTGAAATGTCTCAGCAGAGACCCCAACAGTGGGAACGCATGAGCAGGGAGGGATGGGAGCATAGAAACATATCTTCCAGTACTTAGATTACCTTTGGCTGTCATGGAACCACCTCCAGCACACCTCTCTAACAGGATACAGGGAGGAGACCTGCATTATTGATAAGGCCGCTGTGTATCGTGGCTGTATGGCTATCTCCTCCACATCGCCATCCCAAGTGGCTGTTCCAGCCCCTGTATTGTAGCACATGACAAATTCCCTTATGTCAGCTGCAGGCTGGATTGGGGAACTGATCCCACTTGAAAGAAAATAAGTATATTTTTCTGAATAAGATTTATTCACTGATCTGTTCACCAACATGTTTGCACGATCGTGTAGAATGGAACAGCTGGGGGAGCAGCATGTCAATGAAGTTAGGTGAGAATGAGTAGTACAGGATGGTAGTTGAGGAAACAAGAAAGGCAGTAATACCCAGGGATGGTTTTGCCCCTAAATACTTTCAATAAGTAATACCAAAGCAGAGATACAAAGATTGACTCCTCCAAGGAAGCAAATCATGTTGGAAAATATGCTTTAATTGATGCATTGCTAAATGCTGCTTAGCATCATCTGTAGCCAAATTACTAGTGATTTTCCTTGGTGGAGGCTAGGTCTTCTTTGTTCTGCTCTCAGAATCTTGATCAGATGTTTGTCAGGAGTTGCAGTGCTGCTCAGGACATATGGCAGCCCTTTTGTATTGAAAACATCCAACTTTCTGATCATGTGTTGTTGTGTTATAGTGTGCTTACACTGCAGGCAGCTGGAATAAACAGCTTGGAAAGGGGGAACCCTTATGGGCACAATGTGTGGAGGTCAGTGCAGTCAGTACAAAGTCCCCATCCACTTGCTGGGTACCTTTGCAACTCAGGAGGCTTGAAGCTGTACCACACCGAGTGCCTGAACTACCAAGGGGCAAACAAGGTTTTGAAGCAGTACCTGTTTCTCCTTGTCCCTTGAGGGCCTGATCCTCCTCTGGGATGGGACATACTTATGATGTACAGCCCCCTTCAGCAGCTTAGCATTCTCCATCCTAGAAGCACTTCAGCTTCTCACTCTACTCCTCCTCTTCTAGAATTTTGCCCACTGTAGTGGCCTGAACCTCCTTCTCTTTTCCAGCTGGTGTATTTGTCTAAGTTTGTTAATGGGCAGTTTATCGCCTTTTGTTCTTCTGTGTATTTTGTTAGCTAAAGCAAAAAGCTCTTACCCTTCCCTGGCTTTACCATTCCTGTGTTCCCAGACAGCAATTTCTTCCAGCTAGCCTCTGCTGATGAGATAGTCCGTACCATTTAAACAGATTAAATGAACCCGGGCAGATTGTAGTGCATAGAGAGTGTCTTGTCCTGCCATACACAGTGGCAAAGCATGAATTGAATCTGTTGCTTTCTCTTTGCTTGCTATAATCACAGTTTATTAGGACACACAGTTTGTGTAGAGGCATGTCCATGTTCTGTCTTCTGGCCTTCCTCTTGGGATGCCCTGGACTGAAAAACAAATAGCAAGGGAGAGACAGAGAAGCAAAATCACCCTGTGAGATATAAAAGAGGGAGACGGGAGATCCTGGATAATATCTGAGTTCCTTTGAAGTGAAGGCTGAATAGATTAGGAAAAATGTAATTGAATTAAAGCCACTCTCTTTTAGAGTAGATATACTTTTACCCTGGCTAAGCAATTTCCTGGTTGAGTTTTTTATCACTTCCCAGCACCTGCTCATTTCAGAGGGCGACACTCCAGAGATTACTCTGAGCCAGTGCCAACAGCCAGCATTTCTCACTCCCCTCTCGCCCGCCTCCACTGCCTGCACTGCTCTAGACACACACCCTGATATAGAATGACAGCACATTGCCACAATTTAAATGACACTGCCTCTGCCTCTTCGGAAGGACCAGTCCTCCAGAGAGCACCAGCCACAGCAACTGTCCACCCTTGCAAAAAACGTCTTCATCATGGCGTATAAAGCAGCACATTTGGCCTTTAAGTCGCGCTGGCACAAGACAGACGAAGAACTCTGTCGGCACAGTATGTCCTTCGTCTTGCATAAGGCGATCCGAAATGACTTCTTTCAGAGTTACCTTTATCTGCTGGAAAAGCTTCCCCTGGGTGAGTAGCTGGTGGGCAGGAGCGTCTGTGTGCGTGTGTGACCGTGCTCTGGAAAGGGGTATCATGTTAGATGGTAAAGCGCAGACACATTAATGACAATAAGTAGTAGTTTGAGAAGCCCGGCTAGAGAGACTGCAGTGCTAGCTAAACCATTCAGTAGTCTCTCTCTCAGCTCCCTCTAATTCAGTACCCTGTTGTTTTACCTAAATACTCCACAGATTGTTAGAAGGGGGCAAGGGAAAGACCACAAGAGTGAAACAAAGTTTGGTTTCTGGCTAATGATTCCTCTTTTTGTCACAGTTAAAGTAAAACATGCATTGACCTGTTTGGAACTTGGAAGGACAAATGCAAAACTAGCAGAGCTGACAGGCCTTACTTTCTGTTGCCTAATACCTGTTTTGTTGTCATTCAGTGTGTCCTTAGCCTTGTCATTTGAATTGTTTTGGACAAGTGCTTGAAAGATAATGATTTTTGAATTTATTTTTCAAGAGTCTTTGTAATCCCAATCTCTGCAGCAGGCTGTCTAACCTACTGTTTGTAATCTGGGAGGAAAATGCTTCCAAAATATTTGTTTGTAGCCAAATTTCAGTGAAAGCCTCTGGTACAGGATGCTAAGACATTTCTTTTTAGATGCAGAAAATGAATTTTCATGTCTTATGAAAATTTGACCCTGAATAAGAAACAAAATTTCCCGAGGGCAATATAGCGAAAAAGTAGATTTGACTTGAGTCTGTATTACGTTAGCATGTCACTTTTTAAGCAGAATTATTCAGCCTCCACTCAACGTTAGAACTGTAGGAATTTAAGATGGAAAGGATGTGTCTGTGCAACTACTCTTCACACTGAATTCTTGAGGGCTCCTTCCTAATTGAATGATCCATTTAGGTGAGTGGATTATCTTACCTGATTGTGTGAAACTATACAGACCACAGTGAGAACTCTCCTCAAAATGGTAGAATTCATGAGTCCTGTAAAGAGAAAAAGCATTTCTGTGTTATCTTAGTATTTTGATGTGGCTTTTCAAATGCAGCAATATCTGCAGCTATTTAAAATGAAACATGGAAGATAAATACTCCTATTCCTAGTGGTAGGTAGCTGTGAACGATGGAAAGGAAGGAAAGATGGAAAGGAAGGAAAGTCAATTATAAGTCCATGGAATCTCAAGAAGTCTATGAAAATATTATTCTTTCATTTGTTTTGAAAATAAACACAACATATTAGAAACTGAGCAGGATTTCCTACAGTGTTAACTGTTAGTGTAAGTACTAACAGATCATTTTAAGGCTAGAAGGTACCATTATGAACATCTAGCTTAGAATTTAATGTAAAAGTTCCTGCATCATGTTTGTAACTTATGACTGGGTCACAGTATATATTTATGAAGACAAAAATACCTTGGTGTAAGGGCTGCAAATGACTGAGAATCCATCAGTCCATCATTAAACTGTTTCCAGGCCTAATTGCTTCACTCTTGTAAAACTTTATTTTATTTCTTGTCTGAACTTTATTTGAATTTCCATTCCCAGCCAACAAGCTCTGTAGTCCTATCAGACTAAAGATCCCCTCTGTCAGGCTTTTCATGATCTGAATCATTAAAACTTCACTAAAGAGCTCACAAGCTTATTACCAGCCTATCCAAATTAGTTTGACTCCATGGAAAAGGTACTGTGAGTCCAGCCTTCATGTGAACATGCAGTATGTTTGTTACTCCATGGTTATTTTCATGAAGTAAAAGTGTGCATAAGGACAGGTACTGTGGGGTAGCTCGTGCGCTGTGAATACACATGCAAGAAACTTCACAGCATGCTAGATGTCATGGTCTGGATGGGTGGACAATCAGATGGGTGAAAAGTGGTTGGGTGATTGGGCTCAGAAAGTCATGGTCGGATCTTGAGTTCAGTCGAGTAGCGCAAGGGTCTGTCCTGGGACCTATCCTGTTTAACATCTTTATCAATAACCTGGAGGAGGTGAAGGACTGCTTGCTCATTACATTTGCAGATTGCAGCCAACTGGCAGGACTTGTCCGCAAGTTCTAGGTCAGGACTGCCATCCAGAGGCACCTAAATAGGCTGGAGGAAAGAGACAGTGGGAACCCAGTGAAATTCAAATTCACTGAAATTCAAAGGCAAGTGCCAAGTCCTGTACCTGGAGAGGAAGAACCTTTGGCAACAACACCACCGGCTGGGCAGTGGCTGGCGGGGGAGCAGCCCTGCTGATAGGGTTTTGGTAGACAGCAACTGAACATGAACCAGCAGTGTGTCCTGGCAGCAAAGAAGGCCAACAGTATGCTGGGCTGTATTAACAAAAGCATGGCTAGTTGATCGAGGGAAGTGATTATCCCCTTTTATGCAGCAGTCATTAGACCATATGCATGGAGTCTTGAACTCCCAATACAGGAAATTACATGGAGTGATTTGGATGACCTCCAAGGTGGTGAAGGAACTGGAGCACATGCCCTGTGAAGAGTGACTAAGGTAATGGGGCGTGTTCAGCCAGAAGAGACAGCTTCAGGGAGACCAAGTATCAGCCTCCCGGTACCTACAAGAAGATCATGAAGAAGATGGAGCTGAGCGCTGCACAGTGGTGTGAAGCAGGAGGACAAGAGACAGTGGCCGTAAATGGAAATAAAAGAAGTTCAGACTGGC